CTGTGCTGTCAGCTGGAGCCTGCTTCAGACTCTGTGTCTCCCTCTCCTCCTGCCCCTCCCCTACGTGTGCTCTGTCTCCCTCCCTCTCAAAAATAAACAAACGTTAAAAAAAAATTAAAATTAATTGACCATATCTCTATGTGTTCCTTTTCTCTTTTTTTAAAGATATTTATTTCTTTTTGAGAGAGAAAGGGCACGAGAGGAGCAGAGAGAGAGGGAAACAGAGGATCTGAAGCAGGCTCTACACTGACAGCAGAGAGCCGAGTGCGGGGCTCGAACTCACAAACCATGAGATCGTGACCTGAGTCGAAGTCAGACGCTCACCCAACTGAGCCACCCAGATGCCCCTATGCTCCTTTTCAATAAGTTCTCCAGCACTTGCTATATGTTCTGCCCTCCTTGATCCAGCCCCATCAGGATCCAGACCCACCAGCTTCAGAGGATATTCCTTTTCCTACCTTATCAGGACCAGAATTTCTCCTGTTGGGTTTTGTGGTCACCTGACCCTATTAATGGATCTAGTGGTCAGGAGGGGAGGAAAGGACAGATCCTCAGAGGGGCACAGGCTTTATTGCAAAGGAGAAGCCTCTATGTGCATCATCTTCAAGCCAGCCTGGAGGGAGTGGGCCACTTTTGCGGGCCCAGAGAATTCAGAGGGATGGGTGTTTGCAGGTGTTTGCCTGTATCAATCCAAATGTCCCATCCTGAGTCTCAGGGCTCTACAGGGGTACTGTTAAGTAGTGTTCTCTAGAAAAATAACCTGTAACGGAGTGATGTAAGGAGGACTGGGCCCAGGAAAAAGTTGAAATGCTGTATGATTGCAACTGGGGCCTCATCTGATCCTATAGGGAGCTCAAGCCAGGATGGCCCTTTAGAGAAATTGCACGTCGAAGCAAGGGGACCAGGTCTTCGAACCCCTGCAGTGACGCCACTGGGTGTGGACTGCTCTGGAGGGGAGAAACCTGGGACGGGCAGCTCTGTTCAGCCAGGACAATTCCCAGAGAGGTGTTTTGTCATGAGCTGTTGGCAGCCAAACACACTAGCAACCAAGGGAACAGGTGCCCCAGCCCTGAAAGGGGATCCTGGCAGCCCAGCACGGTGGCTCTAGAGGGTGTGTTAAAGTTTCCAGCTTCAGTTGTTAATTTATGTTTTGCGCCCCGCAGTTATCAGTTACTGCTAGTATCTCTTGAGGCCTTATCGTTAGGGACATACCTCAATGGTGGCTATATCGTCTTTGTCAATTTTTCTTTCTATAAGTGGATAACATGCTTATGTATTCCCTTGTGATTGTTTAAAATTCCATCTTGTCGGGGCACCTGGGTGGCGCAGTCGGTTAAGCGTCTGACTTCAGCCAGGTCACGATCTCGCGGTCCGTGAGTTCGAGCCCCGCGTCGGGCTCTGGGCTGATGGCTCAGAGCCTGGAGCCTGCTTCCGGTTCTGTGTCTCCCTCTCTCTCTGCCCCTCCCCCATTCATGCTCTGTCTCTCTCTGTCCCAAAAATAAATAAACGTTAAAAAAAAATTTTTTTTAAATAAAATAAAATAAAAAGGGCCTTTCAACTGATTGAATCAGGCCCACCCAAGTTATCTAGGATAATGTCCCCTCCTTAATTCAACTGAGTTTGTGGACTTTAACCACATCTACAGAATACCGTTACAGCAACACCTAAATTCGTGTTTCGCTGAATAGCCGGAGACTGTAGCCTAGCCAAGTGGACACATGAAAGACCATCACACTCCCAGTTTCTTTTTTGTTCAAATGTGCCTATTGTGGTAATATTAAGACTCTATGACACTCCTCCCGTCAAGAGATGGAATCTACATTTGCCTCTACTTGATTCTGCACAGACTTATGACTGCTTTGATCAAATGTGTAACAGAAGTGATGTTATGTGACTTCCAAAGCTATGTCGTCATCAGCCATGAAGATTTCTTATTCACTAGAACATGTGCTCTTGAAGCCCAGAGACGCCATGTAAGAAATCCAACGATCCTGAGTCCTTCACATGGAAAAGGCCACTGTGTTCAAATCCAAACTGAGCTCATCCGTAAGCCATCTCAGCCCATCCATAATACATGTAAGTGAAGAGGCCATCTTGGAAATGGACCCTTCCTGCCATCAAATCATCTCCGCTGAGCCCCCAGACACAGTGGAGCAGTGAAGAGCCGTGCCCACTGTTCCCCTTCCGAATTCTTTACCAATGAAATCCATGAGCATAATAAAATGGTTGTTCTTTAAAACCATTTAGTTTTGGGTGGTTTGCCAACACAGTAGTAGACAACAGGAACACCTGGAATGTTTTTCTATCCTTTTATTTTCAAGGGTTTTATGGAGGTTTGTTGTGTCTCCATAAACAACACGCTCTCTATCCCTTTCTCCGATCTGAGTCTCAAGATCAGATTCCTTAGGAGGGACTCAGAACATTTAAGAGTGAATGTGTACACACAGTAAAGCCCGAAAACGCACTTTGGGTTGTTCTACCTTTAGACCCACATCTTGTCTGCCCATCCTTCCTGTAGGAACTCTGGCACCAGGTTTTCTCTAGTTAATTAGCACGGAGCTTTAACCACCCATCCGCAGCCCCCTCGCCCGGATGCTAGCTGCTCCCCGACCTCCCAGTCATCTACCAGACCTGCTTCTGACCAGGGAAACTTTAAAGTTCCTTTCAGACCCTTGCAGCCTAAACGAGCAAGTCGCAGTGATGGGTGGAGGAGGTTACCATGGAGACAGGTCCAAGGAATGAGGCTCCGGCGGGAGGGAGGGCCGGGACGCGGCTTCCGATTGGCTCAGCGGGCGCGCAGCGTTCTCCTTGCGCACATGCGCAGTGGCGCTGAGGCGAGGTCGCGGCGGAGCAGAGGCGCGGCGCGTTCTGGGCCAGGCTTCTCAGGCGCGGGCTGGAAGGTGAGGCTCCCGGCCGAGACACGTCGTGCTTTCCGGGTTAGGGAAGTGGCGGAGCCAGAGGCCCCTCTGCAGCGCGGGGCTGAGCTCGCCACGCAGGCGCCCGCGTCCTCGCCGCCATTGTTGCCCCGGGCCTCTCGGGCCGCTCCGGCTGCGCGTCCGCCGGGTCCCCGCGACAGGTAATGATGTCGAGGGCGCCGGGCGCGAGTGTCCGCGCGGTCAGGCCGGAGCCCCAGCCCGTCCACGCGCGGGAGCCCGTGCTCGCGGCCTGCGGAGAAGACGAACGCGGGGTGGAGGTTGCTGTGGGGGGCCCGGTCCCAGCTCAGCGCGTCGTCGGGTCCCCACTCGGTCCCCCGCTGCCCGCGACCCCCTGGCCGAAGAGGTGTTAGGGAGACCCGACCGCGAAGGGCAGGCGACGGGTGAGGCCGGCGCGTCTCCCCTGCAGGGCCTGGTACACAGTTGGCTTTGGTTACACGACTGAGCTTTGAGGAGGGCTCAGAACTGGGGCCCGCGGACAGGTGGTGTCCGTGCTCCAGGTCTGGCCTGTTCCGAGGTTTTCTTCGGGAATCCCGGTTTCATATTTATTCCTAAGGAATTGTCTCCTGTAGAAGCATTTAAAAGGGCTTCAAATCACACCAGCCTCTTCTACTCC